ATGTCTGTGTCACCGCGCCCTTACTAATTGCACACGAATTGATGCGATGAATATCACGTCGCGGTCTGACTGACTGCAATACACCCGTCCTTGGACGGGCAAAATGCGAGTTTAAGATAATCATTATACCAAAAGCAAGCGTTCTAGACTGACCAGGAGGGTATTCTACCACCACACGTGATTAAAAGGAAAAGCTGCTGAGTAGGTGAAAGCCGTGTCAGAACAAGCTGCAGGAAGCTTTGTGAAATCGCTGCGTCGAGAGACCATATGCCCTCAACGACACGCCGACCTTGCGTCTGCGATAGTTTTGAGCCAAGGTCTGAGTCTTGGAATGAACGATCTCACAATTCACACGAGAATACCTTTAATCAGTGGGCTGGGGTAGGTTCATTTTGTGTCCCATAAAACTAGAATAAAAATAATACTCAGGTAAAAATAGTAATCGCAAACATTCCACGATACCGCATCTTCTATGCAAATATCTGCCTGCTGGGTCTGTACTGGATATGTATCTGTGTCACATGGCTATTTGCCGTGCGTGCAGCATGTGTGCGCTGCGCTCGCTTTCACGGTTGTGTTGGGCTGCATTGCTCTCTGGTGCAATTTTGGGTCGTGCCGCGTGCTATTTGGAATAATGTCCGACGCTGCACCCCCAGTGCTGAAAGCTTCTTCAGGAACTGATTTTGAAAGCACCCCCCCCACCCCTCTGCCCCACCGCCCCTCCACCCACTTGGATTCCCGCTTGTGGCACAACCATAACGCATGTGCATGGGCTGAACTTTCGCCAAATCGGTGAGGGTCAATTAATGGGCCTGTCCACGCGGTACGTTACGCAACTGTATCGAACTTCTGTGGTGAATGCGACGGTGCGAGATTCTGCAAAATGCCCTGCGGGTCATGGCTGCTCCATAAAAATGATAAATTGCTCTGAAAAATGTGGAAACTCTTAGCCTGCAGCCGTCCGATATATCAGCCGCCCAGAGAAGGCATGCAGAAGGGTTATGGATGGAGCACTGAGCAAAACCTTTGACCTTGGCAACAAAGCACACCATACGAGCTCCATCCCGTAACCGCTTTATGATGATTCAAATGAATATATATGGGAAATGCATGAAACAGGCTTGTGAGCATATTGTGTAAAAATATACGTACGACAATGAAAATGTCTAGTGGCATCCGTTTTTATAATCATTGATACATAGCGTGCATATGAAGGAAAACATCTTTGCGCAGGCCATTTTGGGAAGAGATATGTCATCGTCTGCAAGAATCATCCGTAGCCATGGTCCATCCACTGCTGGACGAATGGCTCCCCAAGCCGTCGTTCCCCGTGTCAGGTGGATATGTTCACGAACACGCGATCACCGGAGTGGTGAGGTACAGTCATATTTCCCCCCTGAAACGGTAGCATAGTCTGGGAAGGATGTATGTGTATAAAATGTAATGTCTTTTTTCTGCACATTACCACGAACCGAGCACAGTAAAGTACTGTATCCGTACAATCAACACTTTCTTTGGTGATACAACATTGGCCGCGGTGCACAAACACAAATAACAAAAAAACTCAACACATTCGTCAATAACTCTGTGGCTTTAAAAGGAAACATCTACAATTCACAGTAAAATATATAATAGGCAACGTTTCGGGCAATGACCCTCATTCATTGCACGTACATTATTTATAATTAATGTAAACGCATCCGTGATTTATGTCCTATGAAGAAGGACCATTGTCCAAAACGTCATATTTTATATTTGTTTCCATTGTAAAGCCACGGTGTTATTGATGGAGGCGTTGAGGCGTTCTTCTTGTGTAAGTACATTAATCTCGTCTCACTCTTAACCCCTGGACTTCGTGGAAGACACCGCACTGCATCAGTTGCCATGGCAACGGCAGTGCGGTTCATTTGAGGTTTCAGAGGTCGAGAGGTCACGTACAAAATGTGCAGCCGCGCGTCTATCAAGGGGAAGACTTTTAGTCGATTCCAAATCAATTACGATTGATTTCAATTCCTGTGGTCCATGTGAATGTTCTGATGGGGGGACAGCCATTCTCTTCTTATTGACTCGTGTGTGTGTGTGTGTTTTAGATGCACTGTATGTGTTGTTGTCACAGAACGGACGCGTGTGTGTATTTGATGTTGACGTTAACCATCTGGTTTGCGTTTGCTTTTCGAAACGAAGGACCGGGCCGTTTTGAACAAAAAACATAGTAAATTGACCTTGAAAATGTGAGAGTGTTTGTTTAAATGTCCTATGAATTGCAGATTGAGAAAAATACTCCCCGAATTTTGCAAAACCCATGTCACAACACAGTACACGGAATATATAAAATGTACAATCTCTATTGCAATTCTTCATATGTTGGTCACCGACACGCTCCGATTTAGAACTGAACTCTGTCCTGTGCTGGGGCCCAGCAACGCCACAATTATATTTCGACGACTGCACTGTATTACTTTACGGTGGGCGAGCAACGGTGATAATCCAGCAATCTTGTTTCAAGTCCATGCCACAGCTAACATCAGTGGCGAGTGATAAAAAATATATTTTTTATTTTACCACTTAAGGCCCACTGAGCAATATAGCTATTTTTCAGAAGCGGCCAGGCCACAAATGATATAGCTCAACGAAGTGGCTTATCATGTGGAAATGTATAGCAGCCAAATAATCGAAACGCATGTTTCTAAATGTGGACGGTAAAACCTGAGGACCTGGAGAAAAATCCAGGCTGCCACGGGGAGACATGCAAACTTCAAATATACAACAGGCGTCAGGGTCGGGATCGATCTAACCGGGCGAGGGAGTGAATATCTCGCTCCTGTGGCGCCCCTATCTGGACCAGGCCTTGCACCACTTCCCCTTCAATCCGCACTGACCAAGCATGGTGAAGCATGGTTAAACAACCCTCACGACCGACATAGCATGGGGTGGGGGGAGGCATTCGTGTAGTAGTGCAGTGCGGTACACCAGGCGTGCCGCGGTATACCTCACTGCTCGCAAGTTCGGACAGACGAACTCCCCTCCGTGCTGTTCAGTGGCCGATCCAGCCACCACCTTCCCCACCTCCTCTCCATTGGTCACGGCGCGGTTTGGCAGCCATCAACTCCGCACGCCTGCCACTCTCAACTACCCCAGTGGCGCAGACGTGGAGAAACACGATGACACTCGCACGCAGGCACGGAGACATGCATTTCAGCAATTTTTTGCCAAGGGTTTTGGAAGCGCCACTTGATTTCCTTGCTCCCTAGAAGCACCGTATCAGCCAAGGATTGTGAATTCTTTCGGCCACAACGCATTTCCACCTATTCACTCAGGCCCAGGGTGAATTTTGGGTTCTAAAGTGTGCCGTGAAATTCAAAAAGTTGAGAAGCATTGCAGAAGTGAATTTATAAAGAAAGGTCTAAGTACTTTACTGGATCAGCAGTCCTCAACTTACAAACACTCACACCGACGAACGGAACCCATTCGTAAGTCGAGGACTGCTCGTTCTGCATTGCGTAAATGAGAGTGCTTGTTCATGATAACATCCCTGTATCATTTTATATTCTGTATGCAGAATAAACGTGCAGAAATTTGTAAAACAGTGGATGTTTTTTTTTTCTCCTGAAGATACAAATACTGTACAGTGCTATAAATCCACAGGAACTGGAGGAATGCTCCGTGTGGGGTGGGTGATGTTGCCTCACAATTAGATTACCGCCATTGCCAGTTTGGATCGAAGAACAGGTTATTTTTGAACACCGATTAATGGGCAGCCCTTCGTGTCTGTCTAGACTCACTTTAACCTAACTTGAAGTATATTAGTCAATTTCCATCCACTGCTGGATGAAGGCCTGCCAATTCCATCCCTCACCGTAGTGATATAAATATAAAAACACCGATTCTTACACACGATACCGTGTTCATTGCATGTTTATGAACGTAAGAATTGTTAATTGATTAATGATTCCATCGATAGGTAACACCTAATGCATCTTGATAAACAGCTACGATTTGCATTGATTGGGAGACATTTATTTTTACCGATTTAATACGCCCCAGTCTCGGGGTACTGTTTTTTCACTTACCAGGCAAAGAAGATCTTTCGACAAATATTGCTTCCAGGTTTGGCTAAAAGCTCCAGAGAGCTGTGCATGAAATGTAATATGCGTCCCCCCTTGGAGCAGTTGAAGTAGATTTATTATTTGTGCAAGCTGGCACTCCAAAACAACTTGACCACTCATAGGAGAAGGCTGGATGAAAGATGCATTTCTGAATAGAGCAACCTCCTTGCCTGATGTGTTGAACCCAAGGGGTTGCATCTCGGGAGAGGCTGGTAAATGTAGAGCCGGATAGTTACTGTCAAAGCAACAGCTTCCAGAAAGAAGAATTCTAGTTATATTTACACCCTTTGCACTTTTTGTCTTGATCTAACCATCGGTGCGTAACATTCTGGCACTTGAAATTAAGACGAGAGTATTTGTGTGTAGTGTGTAGACCGTACTTAAATTGAGGCAGTTATTTTTACAATTCAGAGGCTACCATCAGTAAATACAATATAAAGGGAAGGATTAAATGGCACATTCTGCATTTCGCTTACCGCCATTGCATTTGGTGACTATTGCGTGTGCCAGATTCTACCTGTTTTCAAATGCCCGCGTGCAAACACACAAAGTTACAGTACCTTATATGAAACGTGAATACTTGATGTGATCTGCTCAGAGTGCAATATAGACTTCAAAACTATTCAATTTAAAGTAATCTTTAATAAGCCTTTACATTATTTATGTGGACAACATACATGGGGGGGTTGAAATGCTTTATATGTCTTTACTTCTGGACTAAATGCTGAGATTTTCACATTGAGCTATTCATTGATGTTTGCGTTTATATTTTAAATTGTTGGACAAATATTTCGTACAGCTCTAGTTTAGTTTTGTACATTGTCCTATTCATGCTGTATTTAGTTATACATTTTAACACGGTTGCATTTTATACCCTTACAAAAGACTTAATTGAGTCAAATTTGGCCCACGTAAAAATACCTTTCTCAAGTGGTTACACGGATCCCAAATCCTGAACCTCAGTGGTGCTGGCTGAGCACTTGAGCACAATGGTAGTTCGCTAAGATGCCCAAGTCACCTCCTTATTTTTGACTGAAGCCACCGTCACGTGTGTTCTTGTAATGCCATATCACTCCACACTGACCGCAGGACAGCAGTGCAAACAGAACATTTGCGCATTAAAATGAATCGAGCAATGAGACGAGCTTGACAATTAATTGCAACTTTAATGGACGCTGCATTCATAATGTACCTGTTATTGTTAGTAAAATAATTATATGTAAACTATTACATTTCTTGACTTAAAGCTTTCGTGACTGCAGAAATTAATCTTCTTGGGTCTTTCGGTAAAGTCACGTAGATAGGTTCATAGAAAGTAACAAAACTACGTTTAGATCGCAACACAAGCAACACAAGCAATCGTCATTCCAATTACGTCAAAGTTTGTTGTTTTAGAACGTGCTTCCAAGAGGTTGACTTACTGTCTATCTCCCCATTCCGTGTCGGTCATGGGGTTTTTTGACTAAACCAAAATGCTGCTTGAGTATAGGGAGGTGCCCAGCACACGTTTAGATGCATTCGCCACTGATGTTAGTTGTGGCTGGGAATCGGACTTGGGTCAACAAGTTCACAGTGCGGTGCACATACTGCTGCGCCACTCTTTCATTTCATACGACTGTGTATACTTGGCACATTTTAAACCTTGCTTTTAAAACAGGCCCATTCGGCCTTCGTTAAAGTGTGCCAATTTTCAAGGCTGTGATTTAAATATTCATAACAGGGGGATGCGTGCACGTGACACAAAATCCACGCTGAGACGGCTGTCACCATGTAACTGCATTTGACAGCCATTGACGTTTATTAACCTTCCATCTTATCGCATATTAAATCATGTACCGTGTTCATTTACACAACCACTGTGTATGGTGTATAATTGAGCCAATTTCACTGAAGACATCATATTTCATAGCGAAATGTGCTATCCAATCAATTTCACGCTCGATCACATTTGAGTGATATATTCACATGGGACTTTTTCCAGGCTTAATTCCATGCTTCACATGATATAAAAAAATTTAAAGTAACATCTATAATTAGTTTGCTTGACTTTTCTTAAAAGCAATGATTGTTTGACATAACACACAGCAATTAATAGAATTAGCATTGGATATGAGGCTCCATGAATGTGGGAATAACTGGCATCCCAAGCACTGTTAAGTGACTCGGAGAGCCGGAGAACGGACTGAGAGTGTATAATAGTACTCAAAGGTAAACCGTGCATGTTAGTGTTAGAGCCTTCCCGTTATCTCTCTTTCCCATCCCTCGTATTCTGTATGCAATGTCTTCATTTCTCAATTATATTCATTCCAGTATAAAAAAACATCCCATACAATTTGGTTTTGCACGGAATTTGGCTAAATTCCAGCTCTGACAACTAAAACAGCAGCGTGACTATCGCGCAACAAACATTACTCTCATATTGCGAGGGTGGACCAGATGTTACTTGAAGGGATCTCAAAGCTAGCTCTGTGATATCCGCTTCTGCGGGGCTGTTCTCTAATACGAATGGGTGTACTGCTCTGCGAGAGCAACACGTGACTACTTCGATTTGTGATACCATACCAATAGCACAATTATAAAAAGATTTGGGGGAGAAGAAAAAAACACCCCCCACAAATATATTTTATGAAAATCGAGATAACCCGGCCACGGCAGGGATTTTTCGGAAAGGCACCGCGGATAACAATTCTCGGAGGCTGCCATCTCGACCCCGCACGTGACAGAGGGCGACAGCCGTCGCAGCCACCAATGCGGCCCCCAGGCACAGCCAGCGGCGGTAGCGGCGTGGGGCACGGCACGGCAACTGGCCGGCCCCGCCGTGCGGCGGCACCCCGGCGCCTGCGGGTCGCGGGTCGGGCGACTCGAACTCGGCGTCGTCGAAGGCCGCCAGCAGGGAGGGACGCAGGACCCGGAGGGTTTCGCGGGCCGCGCGAGCGCCCGACTGCACCGCGCCGCTCATGAAGCCGCACCACTCGGTCGCCGTCTCCGTGCCCGCCCAGTGGATCCTGGTCATTCGGGCTCAGCGTTTGACATCCACGTCGTGTGCCGTTGTGTGTCATTTATGCAGCAGACTCACTCACGACGTGGGACCGTTAGTGGGGTTGCCGAGTGCAGTCCGGGGCAATCCTGTCGTGTGACCAGGGCTTAATTTTATCCAGAGATGCCCGGGGCTGAGCTCCTGCTATAATTGACCACACCCCGCCAGCTCCATACCTTTAAAGAGGGGGGCTGAGTCCAATGGACTCCATGGAAGTCACCTCCTGCGCACGACCTTGTTAAAGAGGGCGCATGCCAAATACTCGGACGAGCCACGACTGTCAATGTTAAACAAACTCGAAACGAACGTTAAACACTAAACAGAATGAGTTATTTTGTCTATTATGCATCCCAACTCTCACCTCTTAAGTAAATATTATACCAACATTTGTTTAAGCTATGGGGCTAGTCTAAGGCAATCGAGTATTGGTAGCAGCCACCATTGCTACAGTTGGTATCATATGGTGAAGATAATGACAATGTCACCATCAGTATGTATTACGAACGGGGCTTAACATAAGACAGGTCTGTCTGGGTTGGCGGCCCAGAAAATATGTCCGCGCCCGGCACAACCACAGCACAACCACAGCACAACCAGCTGTCCATCCGTCACTGAAGCTGTGGTTATGAGTCACGTGTCTCCTCCAGTCTACCAGCCACCCAGAAAACATTCAGTAATTAATTATCCATGGTGTAAACGATCGCTTGCGATCTGCACTCATTTCCGATTAACAAAGTTGGCTAGGTACCGTGTGTAAGAAGTTCGACACAATCATACTCATCTCCATGATAGGCCCTAAGCAGGGGTCAGCCTTGTTGCTATAGAAGCCACATTTGAACGTTTGCAATCTTTGGGGACTGAGTCGTGTCCGATAATCACAACACCGCATTATTATTTTGATCTCTGTGTTTTTCCAGGAGGCCCCACTGTGTCTAAATACCTTTTCCGGAGAATTCTCCTGTGGGAAGGAAACGAGAATTCCGGGAAAAGCACAATGCGATCTAAAAGAAGAATGATAAAACTGCACTTGAATGTCAACTACCTACTTGCTCTACTGCTCCCCCCCCCCACGTTCGCCTGGATGCATCTGGAAGTAGATATTTCCCACAATGATCTCAGTGTGATCCATCAACCCTACCTCTAAATCTACGGCTTACAGATGTGTTCCACTTTGCACAGTCATCACAAGTAAGTTAAGGCACTGCATTGCATAAGTACAAATATGAATAACTCCATATTTGCTTTCAACACTGCCTAATAGCATAACAAGATAGAAAAAGCATTGGCCCTTCTCATGTAGAGGTGGGAATACCCACAATTCACCCCACCACATCCGAACCTGCCGGTCAACTGCCAATGGACACTGCTGGGTGTCGCAGAGACGGGGGGTTGGGGGTGGGGGGGTGTGATCGTGTCAACTGCCAATGGACACTGCTGGGTGTCGCAGAGACGGGGGGTGGGGGGGGGTGTGATCGTGTCAACTGCCAATGGACACTGCTGGGTGTCGCAGAGACGGGGGGTTGGGGGTGGGGGTGATCGTGTCAACTGCCAATGGACACTGCTGGGTGTCGCAGAGACGGGGGGTGGGGGGTGGGGGGGTGTGATCGTGTCAACTGCCAATGGACACTGCTGGGTGTCGCAGAGACGGGGGGTGGGGGGGGTGTGATCGTGTCAACTGCCAATGGACACTGCTGGGTGTCGCAGAGACGGGGGGTTGGGGGTGGGGGTGATCGTGTCAACTGCCAATGGACACTGCTGGGTGTCGCAGAGACGGGGGGTGGGGGGTGGGGGGGTGTGATCGTGTCAACTGCCAATGGACACTGCTGGGTGTCGCAGAGACGGGGGGTGGGGGGGGTGTGATCGTGTCAACTGCCAATGGACACTGCTGGGTGTCGCAGAGACGGGGGGTGGGGGGTGGGGGGTGTGATCGTGTCAACTGCCAATGGACACTGCTGGGTGTCGCAGAGACGGGGGGTGGGGGGTGGGGGGGTGTGATCGTGTCAACTGCCGCGCCGGGGGACCGAACTGACGGCCTGGATTTCAAATCTAATAAGCTGCTAACCATTACCCCACAGCAGCATCCATATACATAATGTTTCTATCATATTGCAGTTATGAGTATAGCAGGCTGTATTAGTACATTGCATGTGCCCAGGATATGACTCAGCACAGTGATGTCCACACGAAGCAAAATCGAAAAATTAATCAACACATTTGAGGTAAATGCACTTTTTTCTCTTTACTTCTTCCCAGGCACTGCTCAACTTTGTAATTCCCTCCCATCGTCTATTTGTTACAAGTTCGTATAACACCCTTGCTCAATTCAAGAAGCATATTAACTACTGTCTATGGCAACTTGATTAATTGTGCTTCTGTTCGGAGAAGTCTCTTCAACACTGATTTTTTTTAAATGTCCAAAACACTCGCTAAGTAATTTTCCACGACTAATATCCTTGATTCTTCTCAACATATTCGTGAGAAACCATCCAGCGGCTTTTAAAATGAGTTAATTTGATACGCATCACTTGCAGGGAGATTATTCCAGTAATCTACAGCGCTTTTTACAAATAATTGCCTTGTGAATTTTCTCTCAAGGAGAAGAAAATCCACTGTAAATTGTCGGTAGGTATAAACATTTGTGAGTATGCAAAACATCACATTGCAAATGCAGCTGCCTCTCACACCAATGGACAAATGTGACTGCAGTCACAAATCTCACGCCATGGACCACATGGCAAGGCTACTACCGCCTGCCTCGATCATTCAGATATTCACCAGGATACTCCCGAAGGCATCCCCTGGCTCACTCACCGTTTCAGCATGGAGGGATATTCTAGTGATCTCAGCTCCTAGGGATCTCATCTCTTGATTAGTGATCTCAGCTCCTAGTGATCTCATCTCTTGGTTAGTGATCTCAGCTATTGGTTAGTGATCTCAGCTCTTAGTAATCTCATCATTTGGTTAGCGATTTCAAATGTTAGTAATCTCAACTCTTGGCCAGTTTGCATGGATTTGAAGGTTCAAGTCTCACCACTTGATAACAGATTTGACCGTATCTAGATGCATCGTCGGCTTTTATAAGTAGAGGTTCGATGCACTGTGATGTCATGAAGAGCTCGGCCAATTAGTCGAGTCATTGACTGAAAATGGTAATCGACTTCTTTGGTGACCAAACCGAAGTCTCGCTTCCCGAAGGTGGGAAATGTCCCACAGCCACGTTCACCTCCACGCGGGGGATTAAGCCGACGATGTCATCAATCCCCGCTCATCCCCACCCATCACCTCCCACATAGCAACACACGTGGGAACAGAGCTGAGACCTTTTCCCCCCCAAATATTTTCGTCTTAGTCAATTACAAGTAGTTGAGTCATTGAACCGATAATCGATGAAGTGGTCAATTACTTAATTGGATATCCCAGCTTAAATGTCCTGAATAAGAGGCAATTATGTGCATACATTTCTTATGGCTTCACTCAAATACCTATTTTAAAATCACAATTTTATTTACAAAAATACGGCTCTGAACCTGACTCTTTTGCTTGCCCAAATGAGGAATTACTCATGCCACTTCAGGGGTGTTTATATATATAAAACAATAGAGAGATATGCATATAATAATATATAACGGTGGGTTTTACTGGCTTACATTCTGCTGGGTCTTCCAGTCAAAAGGCACAATGCTTTTTATTTCAAAGCATGTCAGCGCAAAAATAAACATTTTCAATTATTAAAAACTTCCCTTATATATTCTCTGAAACTAGGACACATCACTAAAACGTATATGTGATCCCTCATTCACCGTTGCTTATATTCGCAATTGCTTATCGTATCTTATCATTGTGTTATCATTTTATATCAACATTAACCTAGCTGCATTTGCTTGTTTATGTGTTTCTTTATTTTTCTAAATTATGGTTATGGGAAATATTGTCTAAAAGCAACACCTTTCCATTGTCCTGATGACACCGATCTAATTGTAGCACGGCTGACTTGCTTTGTAAATCAGTCCAAGACCAGACACAAAAATTTATATCTGTTATCGGGAGTGCCCCGTTCAATATGAAGATGACACAATAATGGAATCGTGACGAGTTTATCATAAAATCGGGAGTGCCCCGTTCAATGTGAAGATGACACAATAATGGAATCGTGACGAGTTTATCAGCATTTAAATTATTTTAATCCTAGATAACTCCTGCTCAGCAAAATTGCAGTATGCAAAATGTGCTGCCACTTTTGAGAAAATACAATTCCAAGGATGTGACCAAGTGACGGAACGCCGTTGGCTGGCTCCTTCCAAGTGTAGTGACATAATGGGTCACTATGGCGCCTAGCGCCATCTACCGACAGAGAGATGAATTGTGGGTATAGTGGCCCTCTGCCAGCAGAGTAGATGATGTCATGGAAGAGGTCTCTGGGCCTGGCAGAGTAAGGGGCAATTGAGGACGTAGTAGCCTGATTGGCTGGCAAGGGTATGTGATTGGATGTAGGCCAAAGGTGACAGAAGGGGCACGTGACACGTGTTGGAGGGCCCAGAACCTTCTAGTGAGTTCCAGAAGGGGGCATGGCCGAGGGCGGAGCCAGGCAGGGGACACGTGGAAGGCAATCCAGAACCTACTAGAAGGTTCTGGATGGGGGCGTGTCCGAGGGTGGAGCGGGGCCACGCTGAGAGGCCTATAAGGGGGGTCCTGGGGCTGCATCGGAGCTGTTTGCTAGAATGGAACCCACTGTGGTACGTCTTCTCTTTGGTCTCCGTGCTTGGCATCGTGAGTCAGGCAGTGTGCCGACGGACCTGACCCGTTTGTGTAGTTACCCCGTGGTGGTTGTAGAATAAATGGCGTTGCCTCCTGAATCAGTGTGTCTCTCAAGTGAACCCGCTACACAAGTAAGACGTTTGTAAAAATGAGGCCTCAATCATGTGCTTGAACCGGACTGACTGTCAAGCTTTGAGCTCTTTTGGAGGACTCAGATCTGAAAGCTGATTGGTCAGCTTTGATGAATGTGTGGTTGACTCAGTTTTAAAGCCAATCTGTCTTTTTGTTTCCAGTTTCATCCCAGTCTGATGAAATGCTTTGTAACCTTCAACCAATATGCGATTATATTGGGTTCCTGAGTATAGTGAGCTGATGGTCTCGGCCTGGTCACCAATATGTGAACGTGTTTTGCTAAATTATATTTATCTCCGCGAACTGAAGTCCTTCAGTTTTGCATGGAACAACACACTGTGCAGGGCAGGTAGAAGTGTGCATTTGAGATCCTTGAAAGTGACTTCAGAACTAGTTCTATGATGTTACATTCTGGAAGATGTTCTCTGACACAAGGTGCTGTTAGACTGCTAATCTTATTCTAAATTGCCAATAGCACACACTGGTATAAAATAAAAAAATATCAATGATAACTCTTAACCAAAGCAGAACGAGTCTTGCTTCCTTTGCTGCCTTGGGAATAATAATCGTGTAAAGGTACACATGTAAATGGTAATATAAATACAAACCTGTGAAACGGCCTCCGGAGTGCCGAGTGGTAGTATGTTATCATCCCAGGAACCATCACATTCACGGGACATCCTGTGCTGTATGGCTCTCTGCTCCAGTCCTACCAAAGTGTAAAGCACAACGAGACATCCCGGGAGAGACGTTATTGCACTCGGCGTCGCCTTCTGCCTCTTCAGATACAAACTTGTGCAGACAAGTCGAGGATACAAACTCATCGTTTCTACAATTTTGCGGTTCGCAGCGCCCGTCCCGTGGCAATGAGAGATGATCGGTGAACTTGGCGGTCTCGGAACGCCTACGATGACCTGCTGAAAGCAGCCTGACGACAGAGTCGTGGCTGAGTGGGCTTGGGGTTACATGTGGCACCGCGAGTGATCTTGACCGCGTATGGCTAAAACACCCAGAGTGCATCCAATATCCAGCCGGATGCCGTAGGTGAAGCAGGGTTTGTAGCCTGGTTGATTAAAATCATAATCTTTATTTACACTGGAGGAATCCGATTAGCTATAATGCTCTTTTTCACATGTCCAGTGTAGGCTGCCGACATGCAAATAACAGGTTGCCATCGGCTGTGCGTGGCTACAAAGTGGGTTGCAGTGGGCAGTGCAGCATAATCAATTGTTAGCCTGTATATCTGAGCTCCCATGTATATAATTCCCACCTTCACCAACCTACACTGCCAGTGTTATGATATTTCAGCGAACATATAATTAATATATATAATTATATAATCTGTAAATACTTTTACCAAGTGAGCGTTAATCAGGTTTTATTTTCAGAGGTGTGAATAACACACGTACGAAATGTAACACATTTTAATGACAGCAATAATATAATACGTTCAATATGTATTTGAAAAGGAATATGTAATTAAATATATAAATGTATTGCAAGTCATCAATCAGAGGAAGACAAGTATCTTTCAGCAAGGTTATGATGAGTGCAAGGAAGCATGAATTGAGTACTCGATGGGAGGGAAGAGTGACATTGATTTTTTCCAGCACTACGCTCTAGGTTAAGGGCTGCAAAAATGCCAGAATGTATTTTTACCTCCGACATTAATGTGCATCTGCCCTTATAATTATGTACCATGCAGTAGCATTGCATTATATGCGTGGCACGATCCAGCGATTCGATATATTGCCAAGATATGATTTTGCTCTTACATTTAAGAAACATATCATTATTTGTCTTCTTACCGTTCCATTTGTAAATGTTTTCTATCTCGTACAGTCAGTTTGCTCCGTTACCCTAAGTGTACCACTTGCACATGCGTACATTTTGAATACATCTTAAACGATCGATTCTTACGCACACCACATCGCAAGAGAAAGATTACATTTTAACAAATTAATCAGTGCACACACGGGCAATGTAGTTTGTGTACACAAATATCTGACATTTATATTTTGAGTGTGGCACTGAGTCCTGGGCCAGTTGGGACAGCAGCAAATGCATGCATATGAAAAGTAGGACAGAACTGATGCTTTTAAAGAAAAGGAGTGTCACGCGAAAAAACATAGCTGAGATTGGAGGGGAAGGAGAGCGAACGATGGCACAGGGAGGGAAGGCTTTTACGGTGACCGCTGAAGGCAGCAGCAGCGGCAAAGAGACACATCAGTCTTGGGGAGAGTTTTCCACATTACCTTCTCGGCGTATTCCAGATATCCGGCGGCCTTTTCTCCGAGGAATTTCACGAGGCTTTTGATCACCGCCTCCCGCCTTTCTTCAAGCTGACGCGGCACAAAGAGACCCCAATTCACAGCTAGTCTTAAGCCAATGAAGGAACCAGCATGATGTCTTTAAAGGGAATTGTATTTTTTTTGGCTCATTTTACATTTTTGACAGAATTCAAAAGCCATGTGAAAGTGAATTCACAGCACGTACAAGCTCAAGTGAGAGTGGGATGGTACCCATCTGTATTGCTGACCCTTAGCCAAAGGACCGAAATTCCTCCTTTCCCATGGCAAAGAATAGTCTCACTGCATGGCCACTAATAATTGCCCACATAGTGGTACTATAATCATATGGACGGCATAGGGAATGAGATTCATTTGTCCACGATCGGGATTTGAACTCTCAACCTTTTGATTATGCGTCATGTATTCTTAATGCAGTTCGACAAGGCCAGTTTGTTTTAATGCTATAATTTAGTTGCTATTTTTTATAAAAAGGACAGTAAACACATTTTCTAATAAATTAATTACATTTTAGACAAATTTACAAAAGATACAAACAAATGATTGTGCTTAATAAGTCTTTTCTTTTGATGATTATCATTTTGTCAAATGAAAATCAAGTGAGACAGTAATTCACTTTTGAAAGACAAATCTGGAATAAAATACCAATGACACAAACAATATGTAGGCTGGGTGCAAATATTCCAGTACAAGCAAGAATTTGTGCAAAAAATAAGCAAATACAAGCTGCTGAAGTTAACATATTTAAAACAACTAAAATATTATAATTGGTTCTTTACCCTTCTATCTGGCAACAAAACTGACACCTTTTTGCAAGGAGTCATGTTTGCATAGACCGCAATACCTGCAGTCATAAATACAAACAAAAGACATAACTCTGATAATGTGCACTGTCCTTGAAGTTGATTGGTCCACACCCGAGACAGCTTTCCTTCGAGCCTAGTCTCATATGGGTTGGACCAGATGACGCCAAAAGGCGCACAACTCAAGGACAATGCACCATCAGAGTATGAGAGCTCGGGGCAAGCATCTACACTATGGGGACCTCATTTGCCAGTAAAAATATGATAATTGGTTCTTTACCCTTCTATCTGGCAACAAAACTGACACCTTTTTGCAAGGAGTTCCCCATAGTGTAGATGCTTGCCCCGAGCTCTCATACTCTGATGGTGCATTGTCCTTGAGTTGTGCGCCTTTTGGCGTCATCTGGTCCAACCCATATGAGACTAGGCTCGAAGGAAAGCTGTCTCGGGTGTGGACCAATCAACTTCAAGGACAGTGCACATTATCAGAGTTATGTCTTTTGTTTGTATTTATGACTGCAGGTATTGCGGTCTATGCAAACATGACTCCTTGCAAAAAGGTGTCAGTTTTGTTGCCAGATAGAAGGGTAAAGAACCAATTATCACAACTAAAATATTGACACGTAACTCATGCAGGAATGTGCTTCTGTGGCAGACAGGAAGATTATAAGTCTGAATCCTGTTTGCGATGTTGATTTGACCCATCATTTCTCCAAGGTCTATAAAATAGGTACCATTTTGTGGGAAGTCAGTAGTGATGGTGGTTAATGGCCCTAACCATAGAATATGGAATTTCCACCACTGAATCAAGACCACCAACAGAGACGAGCCCTTGTTTTCAGCAGGGAGACACTTTTAATCCTTATGTATTATTATTATTAAAAGCGTGGTGTTCAGCCTTTGTGACTTAATGAGACAGGCTCTTAGTTTACCTCGTCATTCAAAAGCTGGCCCTTCCTACAGCACTGTGCCGCAGCGTCGATGTATATCCAGTTGCAGGCAAGGCGACAGTGCCCACACAGACAAAGCACTAATCCGAACAAACTCTTCTCCTCCTCACTCAGCCCAATTAGTGTAGTGGAAGGTTATTCCACTTCTCGAGGGTATCAAAATGGGGACATCAACCAACAGCCGTTACCGTTAAACGACATAAACCCATATTGATGATTGAGGACGATTCCCCCGGGTAACGCAGCTGATCACGCCGAGTATGATAAGTACGTCACGTCGTGAACGGTTCCCCGGTTCCTGGGGGAGATGGCAGCAGCGTCACCAACTCATTCGAGTGGAAAGTCACCAAACGAATCTAAGAAAGTCCCTAGATATCGATAGATAGATCTTCCAAAGTCATCAAAAATGTCACGAGGAAATGTATCAAGTAACACGCACATCTCTGCACTTGTGGACGATTTTAAAACATGTCTTAAAATGTATTTATACACTTCCATTTATTCAACTATCAACTTAATTAAGAAAATGGATGTTAGCATTTATTATTAATTTGTTGTAAGTTTCCTGAGTTATTTTTGTGCTGAGTGTTTTCTGCTGTCTTGTACAGTGCATTGAGATCCTCGATGAAGGGCGTTTGACAAGTTTAATTTCTATTATTAAACTGTTACAGGATCCATAACACATTCTTGGAACGGCTCCCAAATCTGTTTTAACATCCTCCACAGTGAAAGTGGATAGATCCGTTGCTTTGGAAACATCACGGGGGGAAACCAAAAAAGCCGCTAGATCTAGCGACAAAGTCGTGAATTCGGCAACACACGCTGTGGCTCACGGGCCACAGCTGAAAACACCCTCACATTCTGTGGCTCAGGCTTTAGGGACTGGAGGACATGAACTCAACTCTTTTTTTAAGCGACCTGGCTACAAATGATAGCTCAACGAAGTGGTTCAGGTGGAAATGTATAGCAGACAAATACTCTAAACCAGCGGTCTTCATTGCGAGGCCCGCAGGCCAATGGCGGTCTCTGGTGGTGGCCTTTTGTGTGGCCCCTGACGTGCGACCACTGCCAGTAGACAAATGTGAAGACACCCCTGGCAGCAGGCGGTGTGGTGGCCCTCACACTGGTGAAGTCTTATTGGCGAAAGTGGCCGCCCCCCCTCTAAAAATGTGAATACCACTGCTCTAAACGGACACGGGTCTGGTTGTGCCCTCCTCACCTTCTTGACCGTCCAATGCCCAGCCTGGCTGCCCGCGATGAATCCCACGAGGGCGGCACTGCCGTGCGAGGTCGTGGCGTCGTACGTCACGCTCAGAGGGCTGCCACCACCGCCGTTGCACACGATCTCCCCGGAGTAGCCAGCCTCACGCCAGAACGCCTGGCGCATGCGAGGGCGAAGTTAAGAGGACCGGAGACAAATGTGCAGGATAGCCTCAACACACTGTTGGGGCCAGCACGTCACTTGAGGGGATGGGGGTGGCCAATACCACACCTGGCGGCCTTTGTCTCCCAAGTGGCGATGTTTACACACCACACCAAGTACCCATTTGAAGTTGAGTCAACCTAGGGGAGGCCCTGCATCGGTTCAGATAATCGTCACTGCTGTTAACCGTGAGCGGGAGTCGAACTTGAGTCGCCGGGTTCGAGCACAGTGTGCTAACCACGATGCTGCTGCTCCCCCGACTTGAGACCAGGCAGGTGATCACAAGCGATGCGTGTGCACGATGGAGCGTGGTGGAGTTGTAGTGCTAAATATGTCTTGCGCTCACCTCTCGTGCAATATCGTTTTCACTCTCACGCAAGTCAGGCTTCGGTTTACATATTTTGTATTTCCTGTGGGCACTGTCGTGAGCCGTTGCTTGCGGACCACTGCCCTATCCGTCAGGAATGATGCAACGCTCTAATCATACACACGTCAAATATTGCGTGACAATTATTTAATATTCATGCAAAGTATGTACAGATAACATGCCTATGAAATTATCAGCTTCAAATATGTCCATCCCTCTGCCCTTTCCCCCTATAGCTGGAGGAAAGTGGTCATGGAAAAAATATAATGTACATAAAATTATACCCATTCTTTTAAAATTTAACAAGAGAATGTATGCTTGGGTTAGGTTACAGAATGGCTAGCGAATATTTATGATTTTTTACATTTTTCACAAAATTGACCACCCCAAAAGATGCCACAAACCGCACTTCCCTCTTTTCCTGCGATGACCTCGTGATGTTCCGTCTGTTCTGGGAGCTTTCATAAATGTGCTAGAAGGCCCCACACCCAAGTCAGGTCAGCCCAGTAAGGCCCACTTTCTCAGTTTATGAACTGGGCCAGCTCACTTCCCAGGGGTTGTGGGGACATAGCACAACATATCTGTAGCAATATCCCCCTCTGTCCTCCTTCAGTCACGATCTCTCTACTGCCAAATGAAGGCCTCCCCCATTGTCGTCATCCCCCACAGTCACCTGACGCAACATTTCATCTAAGTCCTGCAGGTGAGCTGATCTCATGGTTCTATCTCCATGCGTTGAGATTATTTTGCTATAATTTTCCACATGATAAGCCACTTCGTTGATCTAACATTTGTGGCCAGGTTGTTCCTGAAAAATAATCCATTAGGTCAGTGGGCCTTACCTGGTAAGATAAACATAGTTTAGTTGTATTTGTATATATTTTAAAAGTGATTTGTTTGCCTTTCCAAAACTTTGCACTCCTATCGTATTTTATATTGTTTGTTGTTGTAACGTTTTGAACAGTGAACAAGAGCGTTATAGCTCATCAGATTACTCCAGTGTAAATAAATATTCTGATTCTGATGTCCCCTCCTTTGTCAGCCATTCATGTCGTCAGTTTTGACTATTAGCCACGATCCATTCAAGCACTTTCTCCTGTCCAAGTCCACTTTTCTCAACAGTTAATATGATGTCTCTAAAGTGCATTCGTTCTCGATGTATTTCCCTTTATGTCTGTCAGTGTCATTCCGTGCATATGTGGAAAAACAATCTCCAAAGTGCGCAGAGCTCTGTCCCAGCACATCCTGCTTTCAGAGCTTATTTTTCCATTTTCTCTGTCAGTGTCCATGTTGCCAATCCATATGTTTATAGCAGGTGATATGCACTGATTGCAAACCTTCCTCTTTGGGCACATTGGTATGTTTCATGATCAATTTTGAAAATCATTTTGATTGCAGTCCACCTTCAACGCTTCACTCAGCTATATGCAACCCCTGGTGCGTTTTCCAATTGTGTCCTACGAAAAAAACATTCATTTGTTTTACAAAATGTATTTTGAGCATCACCTTCGTTTTTCTCAGATTCACCATGGGCCCACATTTGCCATCTTTATTAACATCTTAAGGTATGATAATTGGTTCTTTACCCTTCTATCTGGCAACAAAACTGACACCTTTTTGCAAGGAGTCATGTTTGCATAGACCGCAATACCTGCAGTCATAAATACAAACAAAAGACATAACTCTGATAATGTGCACTGTCCTTGAAGTTGATTGGTCCACACCCGAGACAGCTTTCCTTCGAGCCTAGTCTCATATGGGTTGGACCAGATGACGCCAAAAGGCGCCTTTTGGCGTCATCTGGTCCAACCCATATGAGACTAGGCTCGAAGGAAAGCTGTCTCGGGTGTGGACCAATCAACTTCAAGGACAGTGCACATTATCAGAGTTATGTCTTTTGTTTGTATTTATGACTGCAGGTATTGCGGTCTATGCAAACATGACTCCTTGCAAAAAGGTGTCAGTTTTGTTGCCAGATAGAAGGGTAAAGAACCAATTATCATATTTTTACTGGCAAATGAGGTCCCCATAGTGTAGATCTTAAGGTATTTGCTGAAATTAATTTCATTGGCAGTTATAATGACCGTGGCATATCAGAACATGAAATGGTTGTTAATATTTTCTCCATTTATGTTCATGCCTTTATTTCTCCAATCCAATTTTCGGTAAGAAAATACTCGAATGCAAGCCACTTAACCAACCCGCAATAAAAATGTCTTCCTTTAACGAGGTTTTGATTTATGGACTACGCTGCAAAGCGACGGCCATTAAGTCATAAACATCTTTGCTGGCTGCGGGCCACAGGCGCCCTGTGGATGTGCAGCCGCGCTCTGCTGTAATGGCAGCGCATCATCTCTGTCTCACCGTTGGGTAGGTGACTATGAACTTGATGAGATGTCCCACGGGCATATTCTGTGTGAGACGCTCCCTGTCCGCAGGAAGTGCTGGCTCATAGTGGATCTTAGCTGGGAGGGTGGTAAATGTGCACACGCATAGAGAAGACAAAGATCCCCCATAAAGCCTTAACAGACTTTGTGGCAGGTGCTTTTAGCGAGCACCTATGATGGCCGGCACGGCACACGAGGGGGTGGGTGGCCAGCACCTCGCACGGCCGTCTTTGTCTCCTGAGTGGCGATGTTTACACCACACCAGGTACTCATTTGAGGCTGAGTCGACTTAGGGGAGGATCAGGACCGGTTCAGATAATCGTCACTGGTGTTGACCGCTGTTAGTGACAACCTCTTGACGCTGCTATCGCGCACAAAGGGGGTGGTGGGGCCAGCACCACGCCTGACCGATTTCATCTCCCCAGTGCTGATTTTTACACAGTTTCAGTTTCATTTATTTGGAATAACCCTGTGAGCCATTCGACTCTTGATTCGGGTGAAACTGCAACAAACAATACAATTACAAGATACATTTAAAATGTACTGTACGCAAATTGAAACATCCCCTAGAAAACAATAAAATCTTCCAGAAAAAGCACCATTTGTTTATGCTGCGTACAAAAATGTGCAAAAAAATCCCATTTTGATGTTAGATCCAAATAACAATCATAATACAATATAGATTAAAATTTTAAGTATAACTCTATACTACATCAAAAAATCGGGCTAAACTAAACCTTTCTAGAAATTACTAAAACAATACACACACCACCCAGTAATTATTTGAGGCTGAGTCGACTTAGGGAAGGCCCACGACAGGACCGGTTCAGATATTTGCTACTGATGTTGGCTGTGAGTCGGAAGTGAAATTCTGGCCGCCAGGATCATATCACAGGCAACGACTCACGCTGCTGTACTGCCACTCCCCACACACCACACACACACACACGTGCACACACAACACACATACACACACATACACACACACACACACGTGCACACATAACACACATACACACACATACACACACAAACACGTGCACACACAACACACATACACACACGTACACACACATACACACGTGCACACACAACACACATACACACACATACACACGTGCACACACAACACACATACACACATACACACGTGTACACACAATACACATACACACACAACACACATATACACACACGTGCACACACGTGCCGCACGTGCATATACACATGCACCGGTGCACATACCCAGACGCACAGATTTGTACACACACGTGCCCACATGCATTTGCAAACATACATACACTCACGTGCCCACAGAGTGACACATACTATTCATATGTCGGTGCTCAGAGCGTGTTTGGTGCCCTTGAGTGTGCTATTTACATAGCGTAGGTGTTTAAAGGTCAAGCCAATATCTTTTCCCTGCTCGTATCAACAAAGGGGAGCTGACAATGTTCATTGCTTGCACTTTGTCAGTGCTGATAATTCCACATTCTCATGGCAGGAACCAGTAAGTTTATGGGACTACTACTTTTGGCTTCTACAAAACGGTTTTCATTTTACTGAGAAATTAAATTACGAGGGTGATCCATTTATATGTACCCTACAAAAAATATAGTAAATTACAGAGAGAATAATTGACTTAAAAGCCCCTACATGCCTCCCACCGATTATTTGATCAACACACCGATTTAACCCTTTGGGGCCGCCCATAAATGACGTCACGCACCTAGAGGGGGGGGGGGGTCAGACATTTGTGACGATGTGTGACGAGGGGGGGGGGGGGTGAGAAATGTGACGTCACATCACAACGCGCAACTTTAAATATAGACAACACGTTCTACTTAATTAAATAGACGTTTTAATAAATGTTTTCTCCTACAACATCAGAGTGCAGCGCCAAATTAAATACGCACTACAATGATAATAATTTAAAGGCAGAGCTTTGTGACGTCATATTTGAAGGGGGGTCAGACTTTTGTGACGCCGTGTGACGAAGGGGGGGGGGGGGTCAAAAATCGTCCCAAATCGCGTGACGTCATTTATGGACGGCCCCTTTAACAATCTCCTCGAAAATGCACGCAGCCCTGGCCAGCACCGTACTCGGTCGCCTCTTGAGGAGAGGGTCATGTGACACCAGTGCGGTGCCTATAATGCTACATTTCTGATATGGGTGACTATTTCCCAGGTATGCACACATATTCAATATACATGTACAGTTTCTTTACATATGAAGTACCGGTGAAGACACTTGACGCCGAGGTGGAGGCACACGTATTATTTATTTAACACAACTCGGTTTGTGACATACAGCACTGGAGGGGGTAACGGCCCCCTCACCCGACTAGCTACAGATACACTTCCTAGCTAGTCCTAGCCTGCCTCACAGTCCTCCACTATTTGGCTAGGGGAGGCTACTTGGCCCGACACTGGTAAGTCGGGCCCGGTACCCGGAGTCCCAGACCAGCTCTTAGAAGAGCACCGGCTCTGGCTCTCGGGACCACGCCGCTGGCTCAGTCCTGTTCGGCCCTGATAAGGACATCGAACGAGGGGAGTCCAGGGCTCTATCTAAGACGTCTTCAGTCTTCTGGGTTAACTTATAACATAACTGACTCGAGCCCCTATAACATCCCCTTTTATACCCAACCCCTCCCTGAGGGGTGGGGCCCCGGGGGATCGTAACGCCGAACCAGCCCCCCCCAGGGTGTCTGGCTCGGACGTCGCCGAGGGCATCTCCCCGTGCACACACGTAGCCCCGCCCACTGTGTTTGTTTCCCATAGACTGCCATGCATAACGGGCCCTCTCTCTAACACCCCTACACATACATAAAGTACAATTCTGGTACTATCTTTTTTATATTATATATTGGCATGGTTTGAAAAAGGACATTTGTATTTCCCTTAAGAGTATACCCCAGTCACTGGGCAGAGTAATAAAGAAGCAGGCAAGCCGGTGCATTAAAGGCACCTCTGTGTTGGTTGTTAATGCATTCGACTATACAAAGAAATATGCGAGTACACACATAAACATGCGCGCGCATTAGGCACGAGCTTACAACCACGCGCTTGCGTTCTAACGCTCGTGTGCTCGTCACGCTGGTTACCGGCATGAGGTAATTATCTCCTTTCTGAAAATCGAACACCTTTTTTTAAAGGCATTTTGTTGCCAATATTGCCAAAAATCCACACAGAGCTGGGCAATGCAATGAATAAGCTGTGCGGTAAGTTTCACTGCGATGGGTATGGGGCATTTGTAGTTTTAATAAACATGTGAACTGTCACCAGACGGACAGAGAGACGGATGTCGGTCGCCCTGATATGTTCTTGCGCTCGTGTGAATTTGCCGTCGCTCAGCAGTCGCGCCACTTACCGGCAAGGTGCGTGGGGCACGTGACGATTACTCTCTGGCAGCTCAGCTTGCGATGGGACCCAGTCCGCAACTCAACGCCATCGTCCGTCTGTGTCCCATACACATCGGGCAGTCGCATTTGTCATTAATTGTATGTATGTTGCACTTCTTTCGCACCGTACATAGCCATATAGGGAGAATGCAGATCGGTTTGTTGCAAATTAGTTGGTTTTGATGTTAGGTTGAGACAAGAGTTTGTGTGTTCTAATTTTGATAAAGGCATAGCTCGGTTTGGTGCAAAATTACTCAAAGACCTCTGCCAAAACTTTGCTACATTGTTTTGCAATGAGACGACTTATTCACTCTACATCATTGCTTTAATCCTCATCTCTCTATCGAAACAGAGGCATTGTCCTCAATGGGCTCTCCCACAGTTATATAAATGAAACTCTTGATTGCACTATAAACATTTCTGATGCATAACTGAGCCATGTAACAATGCACCACCATCACCATTCTATGAATTCACACAATTGGCATTGCGTTTCAATTCAATGGGAGTTGTTTGGCCATACTTGACTTCACAGATTAGTCCAAGTTGGTGTGTAGGGGGTGCCAGGGGTTAGCTCATATCACTGTCCACTGATGTCAGCTGTGGCCAAGAATCAAACTCAAGTCCCCCGGTTCATAGCACAATGCATGCACCACTAGTACACTATCCCCACAGGTATTCATGTTTATCATCAAATACTGCAATGAGTGTCGTTTGGACAATTAACGCCTAACACATCCTCCACACCCCGGCTATTAACGTTCACCAATTTTCAACAAAATCCTACAAACCACCTAATTTCTGTGTGTTAAATTAACGTGAAAACGAATTGATGTTTTTAAATCGAGACTCGATTTCAGGAATACGCTTTTGAACCAGCGGGTGTTCAATGCGGCAGTAAGCACTGCCACCTGGTGTGGGGTTTACACAGCGAGGAGTGGCCGTGCAGCCAGCGCTGGTGATACGCGGCACGTCGAGCCGTTAACATGCCAGGCAGTGATTCCAGCACACATTGTGGCTGGGTAGGCCATTCTGGCAAATTGTAGAGATCGTGGGCCTCTCTTGTGGAAGCTGTGGCATGGCACCCTTTTAGTCTTTGTGGAAACGGAACATTCAAAGCCACAAGCTTAAAGGCAGGGAGCGGGAGTTTGAAGCCAGAGGCGGTCCCTGTTCCCACGGAGCCTATCGTGAGTAGTCCGCGGCAAGGTAAGGTAAAAGGTAAAAACGAGTCTCCCTTTACCCTTCCTACCTTACCCCATACAAATTACCCGATTACAGGGTAATTACTGGGATACTACACATGAAAAAGGTTTATAACAGGTAAATTCGTATAGAATACTCTCGAATCGGGCGTTGAGGCTCCATAATCTCCTCGTCCCAGTCGTCTTGGTCGATGACGATCTCATCAACAACCCGATCAAGTTCGTCATTGCCGTCGTGCTCAAACGAATTACGGGCAATAAGATCTTGAGCCGCTCTGGCCCAGTTAGACGGGGACCTTCAGGCAGCCGGCCGTGATCCACGAGCGCAAGCACATGGACTTGATGAAGAGCGTCGATGATAGCGACTGGCGAACGCACGTGAACTCTCGCCCGGCTCAGTGAACCACCGCCCGGCTCCGCTATTAGCGCATTCGCAGGGAGTTGACGTTGCCGGCGCTCCCAAGTAGTCGCAGGCCATCTTGTAGTGGGCAGGGAGCAGCTCTTTGCAGAGAAACCACCACTGCATTACGTCGATGAAGGCGCTGGCGGTCGTGACGCCCATGCTCAGAAAACGATCGACGTCATCGCCGTCGTCAATGAAGTTGCCGACGTTGCTGAACAGGGTGCTGAACAACGACCCTTCCTGCATATGGGCAGCGACTGCCAAAGTCGGGATCGCGAGCACGTCCGAGTAGCGATGCTGCAGGACAGAATGGATCGTGACCTTCAGTGTAGCCAGCTCGTCTTGGTCTGTCGTTTTCGGCAGCTGTGGATTCAAGTAGGATGCCACAATGGCGAGTTTCTGAACCAGGAAGTCGCGGTACTGCACCAGCTCGGCCTTCATCCCTGTCGCGGTCAAGGACTCATCGATCGCTCTAAGAGCGGCTTCACCACGATCGCAATGACGGATGAGGTGCTCCATCATCACCGGCACGAGATCCAATGTCGACTTGTGGTCCGCCGACAACGAGGTCATGATCTGGCCCGGCATTCGCAGGAACGCTGTCACGCTCTCGATGTTTGCCTACTGCAGTTCAGAGAAAGCACCGACGCCGATCACATCCTGGAAGCGCGCCATGATAATGTCCAATGGGACACGCTTCTTGATGGCGTCGTCGCCCATGTCAAACGTCGAATTCCACCTGGTCGGGGAGTCCTGGTGCGTCGGCTCCTTGCTGGCGAGCTTGGCGATCTCAGCCTCGTGGCAGTACGACTGCCGAACGACCTTGCTGTGCCTGATATTGACGAGCGCCTTGCGCAGTTCAGCGTTGGTCGACTTGATCAGTTTGAGAACTCCGCGCTACCTTTACCCTGTTACCCTTTACCTTACCCCTTGGCATGGTCGACACCTTTACCCTTTTACCGGGTAAAAGGGTACATTACTTTACCTTGCCGAGGCCTAATCGTGAGGTGCGCTTGCAGGGAGGTCGCGGGAGGTGACGGGCGCTTGGGGTACCACCCCTCCCCCCTCTGGGCATAGACAGGAGTTAATCACTGGCCCGTGGAACTTTTGCTGACGATAACTTCACTTGGCGTGCGTAGGCTCCGCTACCTTTGCCCCTCTTCCTTTATCTTCCCCTCCCCAAATAAAAACCGGCCACTCCCGCTCGTAGTCCCCAAGTGTGTTCGGCAGGGAGCCCAATCTCATTCCCATCTTTGGACCCAGGAGCACTGAATTGGGGCTTTAGCTTGGGGAGTTTTTGTACCCCCTGCCTGTGCCTTGTACCAGGCTCTTGTTACATTGAAAAATAACAATACAAAACAAATGCCAGGCAGTGTGCGCGATGGGGTCTATTTCTGGTCAGGCTCAGCCACAGTTTTAAAATAATTGGCCTTGAGAGAGGAATTAATATTATCACTGAGCACTTCTCCCATGTGCCCGTTTCTCTCACGCTAAAGATCTTGGCATATCGACAAAAACGAGTCAAGTGTAGGCTCCTCGTAGTGTGCTCTGTCTGTCGTATAAAAGCCTGGCTTATTGATTATAATCTGGCTTACTGTGAAATGCGCAAGGCAAGTATTTGCGATCACAAGATTAATGCTAATCATGATTAATGATAACGAATTTAGCGTGCGTTTTGTTTCTCCTGTTATTATCGCGTAATTAATATAGCGGAGAGGGAGGTGGGGCTGGAGAATCGCACTTTGATCGTCAAGTGCATGAGGCACCTGTCTGCCGGGGCAGTGAGGTGCCTGTATGAAGGCAGTCCAGCAAGTAGGTCACTGACCTATCAGGATGCACTGAGTGTGTTCTCCACTCGTATTGCGTGAGTATTTTCTTCTTCTTGGTATTTCAGTTCTTTCCACGCACAAAATGATCCAAAAATAAATGGCCAAACACCCTAAGCAACGACATCCTGAACGTGAGTCATGGTTAATAAATTTACTTTAATGAGTATGATTGTGTTGGCCTCGCGAATTTTATGTCATGCACATAAGAGATAGTGTGCCAGGTGTCTTTGTGCTTTGAGCGCCTGACTCAATCGAAAACTATCAGTTGAATCCCTGGTCGACTTAGCCCATCACCTCTCTGAGGTTGATAAAAAAAAACAAGTACCACTTTGTTGGAAGTCAGGAGTGGTCAGTCTATGGATATAATGATCCAAGTCTTGGGAATGTGGAATTTCCACCAATGGTTCAAGGGTGCCAACATAAATGAGCCCGCCTGATTGCTCATTTCAGCAGGGAAACGAGTCGAGCTCTTGGGAAGGGGTGCGACATTTACCTGCGTGATGTGAGTCACTGCATCCCCAAGGATGATCTTGCTGTGACCAATCCTCTTGGCAAGCAGACTGGACAGCTGAAAAGCTCCACCCTGCTCCCACGAACACAAACACACAGAGATCCCTTTTTCTCTGCATCGCATGCACCCGCTACCGGCGTAGCGGGTGCATGCGATACAACAAGTTTGCCGAACAAAAGCAAATAATTGTTGGAACAGAACTTAAATAAACAAATGTTCAGTTGTGTCCCTCCAAAAGTTATGATGACAAAACATGCATTCATATTGCTCTTCCAATCTAAAAACCACTTCAATAAGCCATCATAATTCTCCACTCAAAAATGTAACATTAAGCGTTAACCGTTTACCACACTTCATCTTCTCATAAGCCTTATAATATGACGACAGAATATATCACACATTATCACACCACATCCACGCAGCATTCAAACATTTATCACGCATTCGTTTGTATAAGCCTTACAAGCAGGTTCGACATCATACATCATCATACCACGCTGAAATATTAATCATACTTCAATCTCCAAATGCTCATTTAAAAAAAATACTTATAAAATACACATCTTCTCAGGCCTGACTTAAGACCATGCAGAGGATGGCATGACTGAAGTTGTAACAGAATAATAATATAAAATCATGATTGACACTTCGAAAGCACCTCTCACCCGGAGGTCACAAGGTGCTGTACAAAACACACAGACGCACGCAGGCACTCGGACCAATCAGATCCAACCCCAAAATAAATTCCTCATGAAATAGAAAAATCCCATAAAAATAAGCACATCTTTATGCATGTGTAGTGACATAGAATGAGTCACTAGAGTGCGTGGCATGGGATGCTCGAAGAGAGGAGGACTATGGGTATCGTAGCCCGGTCTGCCAGTGAGACACATGGGCAGAGCCTGGAACCTTCTGGTGGGATCCAGAGGGGGCGTGGCTGAGGGCAGAGCCAGGCCATGCTGGGGAGGATAAAAGGGAGGCTCTGACACTCAGTTGGGGCTGCTGTTGTCTGGGAATGGAACTCGTGCTGCCATCGTCCTCGTCTTCACATCCTCAGCATCGCTGTTCGGGTAGCGTACGGAGCGTGGGTAGATATCCCCTGTGACTATATGGAACGGAAAAAAGGATGTGCCTCCAACTTTTAGTGTGTCCAGATTGATACACTACGTTTGGTGTCAGGAGTGATCATGAAAAAAAACTTTTTGGTTGGGTTGTTAGGGATTTTTTGTTTTTTTTTCCCCTTCAACTCTGGCGATAAGGGGAATAGATGTCGATGAAGGCAAAAAGAAAGGCTCCTACCGTCGGGTTCTCAGGTGGTGAGGGAGGTTCCCGGACAGCCCCGGCAACCGGAACCACGGTGAGGGTTCCCAAAGAGGCTATTCCGGCGGGGCAGCGTGCGAGGAGTGACGACTCCGTGTTGCCGCCGACTAAGGAAGGGCGGCGTGTGCGCAGTGTGCGCGTTACGGACCTGCTCTCCAAAGTGGGAGCACTGGTTGAGCGACTGGTCGAGGAAGAGGCTGCAGTTGGGTGTGGCGTGCCATGTTTGGCCACCACTGTGTCAAGCAGGCGGATGTTGGGACCTGCCGAATTTAAACATTCGACGGCATCTCATTCGGGGGTGCCTCCCCTCACACAGCGGTTGCTATTCCTGAAATAATGTTCAGCTGCGGGGGTTGACTTGGAGGCCTTCAAGCGGCACTTTGCCGCTACTCATGAGCTGGCGAGGTGGTCCGACATGGAGGCGCTGTGGGCTCTGCCTACCACCCTGGACGACGACGCCTTGGCAGTGTTCTACGCCATTCTTTCGACAGATAAGGCGATGCTGCAGCATGCTTACGCTCAGATGGCGGTGATCTTTGATCCCCCGTCCAATGCCAGGCAGAGACACCCCTCGCCTTCCTCAGAGCCTTGATGTCGCTGGCACAGGCTGCATACCCAAAGATGGAGCGAGAAGGGCTGGACTCTTTGGTGTTGGAGAAATTGTTGTCGTTGGCCCGAGAAATGAACGTTTGTCTACCGGCCACGGAGGAGGACGATCTGTTTCAATTAAGGTGGCCCGGTGTATCCAGGCCCACTGCAACCTGCAACGGTGAGTCGGGGTGGCGGGCTGTGCAGGATTCCTGGGAGGGGAGGGCGACCAGGGGTACCAAGAGCCCTGTCGGGTCTGCGCTTCAATATCTTGGTGTCTGCGCGGGAGGGTCGGTGCAGAACGACGGTGGGACCAGTGGAACGGGTTCTACCCTCTGCCATGGAGAGCCCCCCGTCATTTTTTTCTGCAGGCCATATCTCTAAGGGATGCCGCGCTGATCCGGGGCAGTTCTTCCCGCCTTTGCCATCCTCCTCCCTGCCAACATCTGCTGCTCCGGGCTCAACGGTCGTGATGTATCACACACCCGGCCGACACAGTCACCGCATGCATCTTCGTCGCAGTTTGTGTCGGGTGCGCATGCCATTAGCCCTCATATTGATATGGGGTGTGGGAATTATACATTAGCACGTGATAATTGGCCACGGGGGTCTGGGCAGTGGGACGTACTGGCACACCGGGTCATGGCGGCGGGAGCGGGATCGTCCACGGTAAGGGGGTTTGTGCAGAGTGTTGAGGTGCGGGTGCTCATAGATACAGGGGCATCCGCCACCATTATTTCAGAGTTTATTTGATGGTGGGTTGCCATGGTCCTGTGGGTAGTCCATGTGTCGCCGCTAATGGCGGGAGCTTAGGTATTGTGGACAAAATTGTTGCGTCAATACGGATTGGGGATTGTGAAAGGACGGGCCCGGTGTTAGTTTCAAGTTCATTCGCGATGCCTTGTTTATTGGGGATTGATTTTTGAGGAGGATGCCCCTCAAGCTTTTAATTGACTAGGGGTGTGTTGAGTTACCATCGGGGCATCGGTTGGGATTTTTGATGTCCCCTTCTAGGTTGCATATGGCTAACGCTGTGGTTCAGGCCCTGGTGCTTGAAACTGTTCGGATTCCCCCGGGTGCACAGATGCTTGTACCCTTGCGGCTGCGGAAGCGGCTCGATCAAGAAATTACTGAGGGTGGGGTTCTTTTAACCCCTTCGAATAGAGCGGTTCGTGGTTTTGCTTTAATCGTGGCACAGACGATCGTGAGGGGAGATCAAGGAGCCCTTCCTTCAGGTGTTGAATGCTGGACCGGGTACTTCGGTTATACAGGCGGGTACGGTTTTGGCTCACGCGATGACTGCGTGTTGTGTAGAGACCGATGATGAGGCCACTCGGGTCGTGGCCAGGGTTGAACGGGAAGTGGTGTCGGATGACTTGTGGATGGATCCATTGGTTGCGGGAGAACCGTGTGCCGTTGTAGCGTCGGTGGACGCTCCGCCACCCGTAGAGAAGGTGGCGTATGATAATACTATTGGCCTTGCACACGAGGAGTGGGGGCGCCTTCAGGTGGAGGACGCCTCCTTATGGAAAATACGGTGCCGCGTTGATGTGACGAACGGTAGGAAGGGTCCAGGGGGATGTGTCCCCCGTGGTCTTCCGAGATGGGCTAAGTATGCAATGGGATACGGAGGTACAGCGGTACTGTATTGTTGTGCCAACTGCTCTGTGGGGTAGAGTAACGTGAGCTGTCCATGTGCAATCGATGCACCTAGGGGTCCAGAAAATATTATCTACTTTGAAGCGCGACTTCTTTTGGCCCAGAATGTCAGAAGACGTCCACAATGTATTGAAGGGCTGTGTGGAATGTGCTCGTCGAAAGCCCCCGCCGAGGCTGGCCCAACCACCGCTGTCTATTGGGGTGTCCCGTGTAAACGAGCTCGTTGCCCTCGACATCCTGGGGCCATTTTCCACCACTTCGAGGGGGATAATACATTTTTGCTGGTAGGGGTAGCATACCTATCGTGGTAGCCGGTGGCATGGCCCCTGATGGATAAATCGGCGGCGTTCATTACGGACGCGTTTTTGTATGGTTATGTGCGAGATAAGGGGAGCCCGAAACGTCTCCTTAGGACCAAGGTCGAAATTTTTTCGTCGAAATTGTTGCAGGAGGTATGCGATTTATTTTGTACAAATAAAATTCGGACTTTGCCCTACCATCCCCAGACAGATGGAATGGTAGAGCTCCTACACAGGATTCTTACGTCCATGCTGTGCCAACAGGTTAACGAGGCACAGTCCAATTGGGACCTGCACGTTCCGGGTGTTCTTGCAGCTTACAGGATGGCCCCTCATGCCTCTACCGGATTCTCCCCATTCTTTTTGAGGTACGGGGGGGGGGGAATGACCCTCCCATGGAAGCCCAGTTAAATATTGAACCACGTAAGAAGAGTGTCGTTGTGCCGGGACTTATGAGCCTCACCCTTAAACGATTGACGACAGAGGAGAAGGCGTCGAGTGGAAATTCAGCCAAGTGGCAAGCCGCGAATGAGCAACTGGCGGCACTTAAAGAATCGGGAAAACCGTGGAAAGTTGGGGAGAGGGCATGGCTGCATTGCCCCCAGGTGCCAGTGGGCATGGCTCCTAATTTGTATAGGCTATGGCAGGGCCCGGTGGAGGTGATTGAGGTTAGGAGGCCGCAGTGTGTACGGATCCAGGTTGGTCGTAGGCGTTGGTATGTGCATATGTTCCACCTTATGAGGTCGTTTCATCTCCAATATCTGAAAGCCGGGTATTTGATGTGTCTGATGGGCCCGGATGTACGATCACGGAGTTTTGCACCTCTGCGAGACTCTGTTCCTCCATCTGCAGGATCCCAGGCCCTGATGCCCATAGAGTTACCAGCGGTGCCACCCACAGGCGGGCCAGGGTCGACGGGACAACCGTCACCCATTTCCTCTTCCCCTCCATCGTCGTTCTGGGAGAGATCGCGCCCGTTGGGCCGTCTTCAAGTCGTCCCTGGGGTTCCCGGGGGATCCGTTCTTGCCCCGTACAAGGGACCGGCGACAGATTAATACACTACATATGTATGTTGAACTTTCTTTGCACCATACGTAGGCAACCATGCTAATCGGAGGTGTGGGGAAGGACAACAAACTAAACACAAAAAGCAGTTCTAAAGAAATTAGTTTTCAATTTAGATTTAAAAGTGCATAGCTCCAGTGG